ATTCGCCTCACTATTGGCTGAATGTCGACCCATTTGCCCTCACTTACATGCCAAGCAAAATTTTCAGGAATGGGCGTCTCGCCGAGCGTCAATTCCAGCTGTCTCTGGTATGAAACCTGTCTACCACCCTTGAATAAACGAGTATCGTCCTTGTCATTCCAATATACGGCAGTTCGCATATTTTTTCTTTTCTTACCTTCTTTAGATAGCCGTCTAAACAATTGTATCTTGTGAGAAACCGTGCGATGTAGCAATCTATACCCATCGCTCCCTTGTCCATCCAGGTTTTAATATCTGAAATCAGCCTACTAGTCCACGCGTCTCTCCTAGCATCTGTCTAAAAGCACCCCGCTTTCATCATCTCCAGCTTCGGCATTCTATTTGTATATTGCGCATCGCAGCAATTTAGCTGGCGGGATACCAGCCACCACCAGCAATGCATCCATGATATCGTTGCATAAACGTTGATCGAGCTCAAAAGCACACGATTTCTAATATCTTATATCTTAAATCTTTCCAAATCACACCGAAACCGATCGTTCTATTAACTTCCTATTACTCTTTGTTTTCTTAACATAGTCTTGTTTCTATGTATGGTCAAACCTGACAAACTGACGAACTAATAATAGACAAAAAAGCAAGGTGTCTTGACTTCAAGCAGTGAGTTCGAATAGTAGGTAGATGTAATTGATGTACAATTTATGATATTTAAAGCCATAAATTAATCACGGATGCTTGTTATACGAAAAGATCCAACTGTCGATACATCTGCTGATGATCATGACCAATTAATATGTAATTACTACTAGGTGAAGATTGCCAGCAATAAGTGACTCATCTTCGGATGTTCTGTATTTGTGAATTGTATTAAATAAATAATTGTGTCAATCAGTTAACCTAACGTGGACCGATGTCATCATTTTTTCAGTTTTCCGTAGATCTCACCTGAGATATGGTAAATAAGAGAATGAAAAGAACAAAGCTCGTGTTTTTGAGGGGCTGATCGTTTTATTTTGCGATCCACGTCGAACGAACTTTCTTCTATTCCTCGTTTTATTTATAACGAGATACAGTAACTCAGGTTGAGCATTGTGATGGCTTTAGTCCTTGTTAGCTTGACAGGCTACACGCGCCCTATTCTTTAATACAACTTACGGATACAGAGTATCCAAAAATGGTTCTCTTCAAGGACCAAATTAATACATGGGGGCAATTAAGTAGACACCAGAATGTGTATTGAAGGTGAAAAATGTATGTGTCTTGGATTCAAAACATGATGGCTGGCAACACTGATCGCGAAGCCTAGTCTGCCGTCATTATCTCTAACCTACACGACCCACTGCACTTAGCGGTACATTCATACAGAAATCTGCTCTGCCAAATGTTATCGATGGTTTATCGACGACTAGCTAGACAATGCTGGCGGTATCAATTGTGTTGCCTACCCAATATGTGCTGGGAATACTCTTCAATATTCATAGGCATCAACTATGTGAATTGATAATGTCCTCGTGTATCAAACAAGTTACAAATACCACTTGTGGATACGATACATATGATTTAAAAAAAGTTATAACTCTCAAGTTGCACTGAGTCTCTCTGACCTATTTTTGTTCATACGGTTCATACACATTTTTCTTTAACAAGATAGGCACCCCGAGTTGTTACATGAAAAATCTCAGTCTAATGACATGGATCACAAAATCACACGGTTCTACACTGTTCAGATGAGTCGGTAGCATTACTTATTGAGGAATTGTGCCTCGGTCATTTCAGATACCTGAGATATTTGCCTAAAACACTTTAATGCTTTTTTCGCTAATATGACTTATAGGTTGTGGGCTCCTAGATACTAAGTAATCTATACATTTGTGTTATTATTGATGTTAACATGTGGCGGAGGGGATATAAGCGAGCATATTTGTTGTTTCAAATTGGGCTCTGCTGGAATCTCAGAAACGATGAGAGATACGAAATCGGTTAAATGGGGCAAAATTGTACATGTTTGTAACTAATAGCATTTTCTTTTGGTAAAACTGGCGCAGTTTTTGTGTTTGAAACACTCTGACAAAGTTCATTCTAGATTTGCCCCTAAGAGAACATAGAACATCTGTCATTTCGTACTTCGAGCTGCTATCTGCCAATGAAAAATATTTTCTTTGTCCTCGAGCTGTGATTGTCAATTTTAAAAGAAGAGCAAACTGACTACAGAACCCTGGTTGTATGCAAAACCACAAGTAAAAGTTGTAAATTGTGACAGTGTTGACAGTTGACAACACCAGCACGAGGTACGCTAGGTCGTGTAATGATTTTGCACTGAGCTAAAAAATGGCTCAAAGTGCGCACCAAAAGTCAGGAGTAAATGAATTGGTAAAAACAAGATACTATGAGAAAATGGAAAGTTTCTCAATTCAGAGGACTTCCGGAGATACATGAAGAAAACATAATTTTTCCAAAATTAATGACCTTGTTATTTAAGGTAGGGTGTCAAACATTAATTGCACAGTAATGTTGCTACTTTTGACTGATTACATTTCAAGTCCTACTTCAGAGATACTGTTTTATAGTTTTACAAGATAAATATATGAGATCATATATGTGTTTTTGAAATCATAATTAAAAACTGTATATAAGTATGTCCAATATGGCGTCCATACGAAAGAATAAAGTTCATATTGAAGATAATCATGTTCTAATTCCAATTATGCCACTTTGAAGAGGAGGAAAAGTGGCAACGTCAGTGTACAAGTTATTTTAAAATGCAATATCAAGTAAAGACAGCGAAAAATAAAAACTATTTTCAAAAAATTCTAGAAATACTTTAAAATGCGCAACTTTCGAGTGCCATTTCATTAGTTACTAGCATGCAAAAGTATGTTCCGTTTAATCAATTCCGTCTCTGCTACTGTTTGCGAGATCTCAAAGGTAAGAATCGAACTTGAAACAGCCGATATAGATCGCATTTTAGATATTTTCTACATAAGAATGGGCATGTATATAGTTTCAGTGCTAGTTCATAATTGATTCTGATGTGATAATCTGTCCATGAGCAGCAACATATTCGAACAGTTTAGGAGCCAAGCCTATATGTTTGCATTGCACTATTTGTCGCCAAAATTGCGTAAATTTAGGGCTCACTATTTGTCTGCCAATACAGCGTTGTAATAACACTTACCATTGGAAACGTCTGTTTCGTTAGGCTTGTGACGCTCTTTGCAAATTGAGTAAGAAATGCCTTTAAATCGTTCAACACCACAATTATCTGAAAACACTCGCCCTTATAAAAAATAGTACCAGATATATGTATTTAATGAAAAAACTGTCAAAAATTTCAAGTGCGCTATGATCCTCACCACACAGCATGAAAATAAGGAGAGAAACAAATCTTTGAGTGGCTCCTTCTACCTATACCTAGTCTGAATTCAGTGATGAGCAGGAAAGCGAGGGCTATCTATGGAATAGAATCGCAGTTTCAAAGTAGACAACAGACGTAGCTAGTTCAAGCTACTGATAGCTAGTATACTGTAGGAATGTTTAAAGAATTGCAATTGAAAGTAAGGAACTGCAATCAGCTGCAATTTTAATCACGTAAGAGCTTTGCCGATACTAAGAAGCTCATTACAATTCCCGGAAATAGATGGTCAATGCTTATGTCGTCTCCTGGTGTAGTGTAATAGTTATAGTAAGCTGGAGTGATGAAAGGGTGGGTAACTTTATTGGTATTATTTATAATTTCTAACTGTTTTGAGGCTTTTGACGAGAAAGTATGTTCATGGATTCAATAAAACTTACGACTCCCAGAACTAAAAAACAAATTCCACTATACATCATCATTCTTCTATCTCTCTTCAGCTCAATCCACACAGCGCAGGCTCCAATAATCAGATAAATTGCACAGTTTGTAGCACTGTCACAAACCTTGGGAATGCTGCATACATCTTCAAATCTGCCAGATTCGTTCTTGAACACGCAGTAAAGTATTATTGCAATTTGGTCCATTGCCGAGAGGCTATAGACGATAATCACGACTATATCTGTCCAGTCATCAAATCCACCTATCACGCAGAATACAAAACCGACTAGGCAAAGTAAGACTTGTATGAGCTTACATATTCCTATAGGTGTATAGATGAATCGGATATTGGACATTGTGCAAAAGGACTTTTCTTTCTGGTAACTAAAAAAATATAACTTTATAATTTTCATTTCTATGCTTGAAGAATATTGAATTGAATTTTGTGCTCACAAAAATCACATCCAAGCGAATAACCAAACTTTCCGTGTTATGTACCGCGGTTATATGGTTCGAGATGTCACACGGGTTGATGATGTCAGTTACTTGAATCGCTTGAACGCGTTGGTTTTAACCGTATACAGGTGGACATCATCCAGTGAGTTTATATGGCCACATTTTAATATTCTTGTAGTATATGGCTACACAGGATACTTTGCTAAGCATACGAACTAGCAAAGTGGCCCCAACAACAGTGATGATTAAAACTAATAAAGTGCTTTACTTCATGCTAAAACTGAAGTCAGCCTGTATCAAGTCTCCCAAAAATGAAGCTGAAGTACAATAAAAATATCCAATACCCAGCTAAATTTTAACTTGTCATATTTCAAATTATAACCAGAAATTTAAAACTACTCCTAAATACCACAATTTTGCGGTGATCACTATGGCATATAACAGCTAATTCATGACGTCACGGATCTTATAACCAGACTGATAACCACACTCGCTTGAACGGATCGTTAAATACCAACCCAAAATGATAAATACCATTTTCGTTTGGTTATTCGCTTAAATTTGATTATAGAAAGGAGGCCACAGTTAGCATTCAGTGACTTAGTTGAAGACTTGCGGCTGAAGTGGCAAAACTTGACAACGACATGACATGAGAGAGGAACAGAATAAAACACTTTAAATCTATCAAAGTCTATTTGTCAAAAAGCATTTCTTTTAAAGGATTAAATTAACAGCCATCTATACACAAAGGTCAATTTTTGGCGATAAATATAATGCACTAAATAAAACGAAAACGCCTTGTAGATCTTAAACAATGTGGCCAAGCGCGTTGGAGCAATAAGCCAAAAAGTTAGGTCGAATATAAGATGCATGTCAAAGGCAATGAGGTGGCCAAAGCCAAGGCTAGTGCCCAAAATAAGGCTAGGGCCCCAGGTATAGTCCAACATAAAGTTTCGGTAAGCCATAGCCAAGATCTAAATCCAAGGTTAGGATTAAGATTGCAATCCAGAGCTAAGATCTGAAACCTCAGTAAGGACCAAAATGAGTGGCTCCGTAAGGTGCAATAGGGTTCCGTGAGGAAGGGTGGTGCCCAATCTGAAAAAGGATTGGATGCGTTATTGACGGGTTTTATGACCTAGACGTATTCAGGTCTCGCTCTGTTAAAAAGAAACCTTCGATTTTCTAGGTATTGTATTGTTGTGAAACTTTGAATTTAAGTTTACTAAAGAGTGAGGTTAAGATTCAGTACTGACGTTCGATCCGCGCGGCCTACTATGTTTCTATATGCAAAACTTAAAAGACATCCCTCGTAATAAACCTGTTTTATCCGAAATTTAATAATTGTGAAATCAACATCATCAACAACAACATCAATAGAAAAAATGTATTTTTACAACGTTTTACTGGCAGACGCAATCGTCAAAATACTGCCTGGCCCTATTGGTGCCTGACCTTATGGTATTGTTCAATAATTTCCTATTAAAAATCTCCAATGCTCCTATGGACTTCCTAGAAAAATAGCATGTAAAATTTTATCAGCGTCAACATAATTGCTTGAAACAATATGAATAAAATGTGCATGGATAGAGGTAAAATCATTCTGTAAATTGATTTGTGCCGAAATTTGTGCAAAATTACGGAGGATAATAGAAATATTTGCAGTTTTGATCCAATACATATCTGTTTGAAATATGTATAGGGAAAGGAAAAAATGTAGAGCTTACCAGAATAAAATATTTGCGGAATAAAAGCAAATAATTGCAGGTTAGATCACTAGACGCACAAATGTTTGTTCTTTTAACGTTTCTGGAAGGAAAAGCCAATAAATACGTCTTGTCTGTATGGCGGTTTTGATAAAAAAGAAAGAATTCTAACCTGAAATGTGACAGATGAAGACTGTCAAGGTCACAAACTTACTAGAGATGGGAATGATGAACAGTTCGCTTACCAATCTTACTGCCTACTGAATCTACGAAATGTATACAGGGTGCGTAGCATTAGAACCGATTTGGAGCAGTGGCATGTAGCGGAATACTTTACGCATGTTACCTATGAAGTTGCACCCCTGATAAGTCATAAACCGTATAATGGTTTGTTCGTACAGCGTGTTTGCTGACAATCAGCAAACTGATAGTCGGCGACAAGTCATGACCTAGTTTGCGCAGTTATCTGTCACTGACACGTCGCTGACTGTATCAATTGCGTTCATGAGAACGTTACGAGTTGGCTGAGGGAGTCAAGACTGATCACCGACAACTAATCCGCTGTACGTACAGAAACTTCTGACTATTTGGTCAGAGCTCGAAATCAAGTACAATAATTATTCGAATGTAAAATTTTTTAGAATGAAGTAGACAATTTTGAAAAAGTTGCGGGTTCATTTGCTGTAAACCAGAATGATCTAGGATTTTTCGTCCAACTGTCCAAATGTGCCCGAATTTACCTTAACAGAGGAAAACTTGGACACCTTCTAGAAAAAATAACAGCACCCAAAAGTGTCAAGTAGATTTACTCAGTAATTACCATTCAATTCTCATATATAAAGTATAAACATAAATTCGAAGAACTATGATTCCACACATCGAATGACAAGTTGAAGAAGTAAATACATAGTAAGAATTTTGAATAAACGTCTACAGTGATTATGCATGAGAAATGTACAAAGTATTGTGAACGACCTTTAATAAAACTCGGATAGTAGGGTTTTTCTTCCCTGTTCCTTTGTCGCCCATCCTCGAAGTGTATGCACAAAGATTATTTATATATTCTAGCTATGTAAGTCCAACCCAAAGCTGATGAAAAAATAAACAAAATAACAAATTCTGGAGATTTTGTGATACAGCTTTTTCTCACGGAGAGGGAGTTACTGTTTGTGCTGGGGTGAAAATAATGTTTTCCCTATACGGGGTATTTTAAATTCGACCCTCACCATTGGGATCTCGTAAACTTCAAGGGATACGAAGTCACTTGAATAGGGGCAAAGTTGCTTATTCAGATAATCAGCAAAATGTCGCTTAGAGAGTTTTGAAATTGAAAGTACTTCCGGAAAGAGACGTAAAAACGAAATTTCCCAAAATGGTTTTAATTTTCCCCCGACTTTATTTGTGGTGGTATTTCAAAATAAATTGCATATGAACACTGCCACATTTTCTCCTCTACAAGAAGGCTCAATTAGAATTTCAATATGAAGTTTCATCTCTTGTCCTCTAGCATCAACTTAATTTTTTTCTTATCGATGTCATATTGGATTCTTACACACATGAATAGAATTTTAATTCTGATCTAAAAAATGTATGTCATACATTGACATTGCAAAACCTTATTTATTCCAGAAGTTCCTAGGTAGGTCTTGAAATTATTAGATTTCATTTGTTTGCATAGCAACAGAGTTTAGAAGACCCTGAATATCTCTGCTTATTTATTAGTTATTATTGTTATTATCATCAATAAAATTTTCATTACCTATTCAGGTTTCATCAAATCTTTTTATTTCCTTTTAATTTTCACCCAACAACAAATTTATGGTCAACTAACAATCACTGAATTTAGGGCTTAAGAAGTGCATTTAAATGTACAAAATTCAAATATAGTGTCCGTCTAAAAAACAAATTTGATAATGGAAGTCGAAAGAAGAAATGTCAAATTAAAAATTTGACTACGCCATCCTGCAGACGAGAATAAGTAACAATAACATTATGTAATTTATTTTGAAATCCCATCTCGAATTGAGTTGGGAAAAAATAGAGCGGTTTTGGCATAAATCTGGTGATCGAAAAAACATCTGATAATTTCAAGGCCTAGCTAAAAAGTTCTGTTTTTCTTAAAGCAATCAAGGTTTAACAACGTCAATGTATGATGTATTATGCACTTTTTGAATCAAAACTAAAAACTATATTCATCTGTGCAAAAATTCAATATAGCGTTCTTAAGAAATAATAAAGTTGATGCTGGAGAACAAGAGACGAACCGTCATATAGAAATTCTGATTATGCCTTCTTGTAGAGAAGAAAGCGTGGCACTGTTAATGTGCAATTTATTTTTAATTCTCAATAGAAATAAAGTCAGGAAAAATTCAGAACTATTTTGGAAAAATTCAGTTTTTCCGTTACTCTACGGAAGTACTTTGAATTTCGAAACCTTCTAAGTGTCACTTTGTTGACTACCCCATTTAAGCAACTTCGTATCCCTTACAGTTTCCAAGATCCCAATGGTGAGGGCCAAATTAGAGACACCCTGTATATGCAGACTCTTAGTAGAAGAAAGAAGTGAAAATACTACAAGGATTTAGTAACGTCTTTGAATAATAGAGGTTGTTATACACTAAAAAGCTAAAACGGCTGAACATAACTACAATTCTCAAGATCTGTTTACATAGCTATAAGTTTCACAGAGTTCTCAAAATGGACAAAAAGAGCTGAGACTACGAAAATACATAGAAGTAAGACTTAAATAGCGTAATTACGCATTTTGCAACTGTAACAAAAATTTTCAAAAGATTAGTGATCACAAAAATCGTATTAATTATGGTTCTTGAAAGTTATGTCCTCTATTGTTCGTATTTTTTATACTGTATTCATAATCTTTATTTTGCCATTACTGGGACAATAAATAAAATATTAAGCACAAAGCACTTTGGCGCTGGCTGATATTTAAAATGGAATTTCATTAAAATTTCTTCTGCCACTTGCTCACCTGAAAATGTTACAAAAACTTGTTTCTGTTGAATTGTGGCCCTGTTTTCTCTACAAAATTAAGGTTTTTGGGTTTCATTCTTTTTACACCGAAGCAGCCGCGCAGGTGAGTCCTACATGCCAAGGCACCGCGGCTGCTTTCAGGAGCTTAAAGAAACTTTGTTATTCATATTTTTGAACTGCCTAAAGTTAGTAAAACCGGGAAAATCCCCTCATGGAGATTTTTGCACGATCTCGACACCCTCGGGACAAAGGAGCGGTCTTATCGGCTAGTTCTGGATGTACGAAGTTCGACACGCTTACGATGGGAGGCCGAAGTCAGGTAGGCACATCGCGGGACGACGCCCTGGAAGAGAGCTCTGAGGAGCAAAGCCCGTTGGCGTAGCTAGATCGCCAACGTCCCGTCGATGCGAAGGTGTCACCAGACCGTCCAGTAGAAAAGAGTAATCGATCATTAAATGCCTCTTGCGAAGCAGTTTTAGCCCTCAAGATAGTTTCCACACACTGTGATACCTGTCACTGTCACTGGTTGACTGGTGTCCTTTGATCTGTCAGAAGGTTCTATACGAACAGCGGATTAGCTATCGGCAAACAGTCAGAAACTGTACGAACAGGTAATACCTCTCTGATTCTGATTTTGACAGTCACCGACAAGTTAGCGACTACTGTACGAACAAACCATGTGGTTTCAGAATTCGGACAAGATTAACATCACCGGTATTCTTGATCATAGGAAACGCAAATCTGGTACACTTTTGAAACATTTTAAAGGTTCAAAGGGTATGTATGACCGTTAAATTATGACTGAATTTTTTAACTCGGTGGCTTTATTTTATGTAGGCTTTCTTACTTGCCATTAAAAAAAACAAAATTGCAGCTCTTTTATTCAAAATTGTCGAAAAAAAAAGTAGGCTATGACATCAAACATCCGACATGTCAGTCAAAAAAGTAAATTAAATTTTCTACGAGGAATGAAGTTATGCATGAGAGAAAACAGTGAGCACTTACAGCAATTTCTGTAACTCATCATTTGTTATCTCTATTATTCATATTGCTGGTTTTTCTATTACATTATTGCTGTTGTATCTTTTTACCGGATTGTCAGATCTGACGATTAATTTCATAATTAAAGTTTGAATTTTCCATGATTGTAAATAACACAGCTAAATATCGTGCTACTAGTTGTGTATTGAGGTTTTTGGTGAAATATAACAGGATCAAAAAATTTTTAACCCCACTTTTCCGGACTGTAATTTCTCTGGGGTGCAATTTTATATGTACGTTAGCTGCGTTAAATCACAATATCTTGGATTCTTCTACATCCTACATGCTCCTGCTATGTCTCGATTCTCTTAAGAAACATTCTAGTGGATTTATACAAACTTAAGGAAATAACATAAAGGAGCATAAATAAGGCAGAAGAACCAATTGCAACACATAATGCTGGGAGTACATGAATATGCCTTCTTTGGGTTGCCGGTACGGATTTTTCTGTCTCTGGTTAGAGCCAAGCAGGAAAAACATGTTAATTCAAACCGCAAATTATTTTTGTGACAAAATTGAACAACTTCCCCATCCGCGCCTTGTCAATTAGAAAAGTTTCTAGGCCTTTTCGCATCCCGCCACAACGTAATTCCTCGAGAAAGATATTATCCGGAAATTTAATTAGCCACATCAATTTAAAAAATGTTTCATCGCGTTGCTGAAATCGAGTTACACAACCAGATATTAATTTAATGGCGACGTATAATTTAGCCACTTTGATAATATCATGATTGCTTTAGTATTTCGATATAGTGCAGATACAGAATCTCTATATATAAATATAGGAATACAACCCCATTTATAACGGTCACCTCAACACCTTATACCTAATGCTCAGAAAGTGGGGTCTTCCCTTTTCACGAACATCAGCGCTTGCAAATATACTAATGTGCGGCAAAACAACAGTGAAAAAGTAAAACAAAAATTCAATGAAATAATTTAACTGGAGAAAACCTCGAATAACGCCCTGTCATACGATGTCGGTAAATGCAGTTCGAAGTAGTCAGTTGCTGTATACAGGGTAGCACAAAATAGTTATGATAAGTTATTTACCGAAATGTGTGCTGTAAGTGGCGCCTTCTAGGAGTTTGGCGATACAAAAATGACAGATTCTTGGTTCTCATTCTAGAAAACCTCCGTATACCGAGTTTTACGCCAAAATCTGAAATACTTCTCAAGCAATAAGGAAAAATAGAAAATAAAATTGTAGCTTTGACACCCTGTATCTCGAAAACTATCAACTTTTGGACTTTGGTATGTTAAGGTCAATTCACATTTTTTTTTTCAAGTAAGAGCGATTACGACTTAGGCCCGTATCGTCAGTCGTCCCTACAATTTATTGTAGGGCGCCTTTATGGCGTCCTTGATTGTCATAGTTTTCTGCTCCTCCGTGTCAGAACTCTATTTTGAGGTTATGTCACAAACATCTATTTGCAGCAAATTGTGCTTGCTTTTGAGTTATATCATGTTTTATTAGCCTGAAATTTCCTGCAATTTAAAAAGAAAACATATCTTCACAATAGGAGAGCGCTGACGCTGACACGGGACAAGTGTAATCTAGAATTTTTTGAAGAAGAGAAAGGAGGATGAAAATCAAGGAGGCCATAAACGCGCCCTACAATTGTATGGACGACTGACGATACGGG